CCTTGTTCTGTCAACAGAATTGCATGACTTACTTAGGCCAGGATTACCTGTATTCAGTCAACATTATTGCATTGCATGCCTTACTTAGGCCAGGTTATCTATGTTGCATTGTATGGCTTACTTGGGCCGGGGTTATATATATTCAGTCAATATTGCAATGCATGGTTTATTTGGGCCAGGCTTACTTAGGCCGGGATTATCTATATTTAGTCAACATTATTGCATTACATGGCTTATTTAAGCCATAGTTACATATATTCAGCCAACATTGGGACTAGAGGCTACCGTACTCTTAGACTGGACAAGCTGTGGCAATTTTAGTGTTCCAACATTCGCTCACTCAGGCCGGGGGCTATCAATTCAAGCAACATTGTTACATTGTATGATTTAGGCCGGGTTAATGTGTAATTATGTATTTATCATTGTGAATAACAAAACACACATACATACATACACACACACACCGAGTGACGTCACCATGGACCATTCATTGATGTCAACCCCTGCTAATTCTCCCTCCTCTTGCTGCTTACAATAACAGCGGTGAGTAGTCCTGAAGACAGTCCGCAACCAAAAGAGCAACCCATAGTCGCGGACAAAAGCAACGTGGCTGAGGCGGAGGCGAAAAATAAAGACGCGAAGAATAATGTTTTAGATAAATATAAACGTCGAAATAGCAAGCTTGGAAGTTTCCATTCAACTGGCTCGTCGAAGGATAGTTTACTGTCTTTGGGCGGAACTGACACTAATAGTTACTACATGATGTCAATTTCCGGTAAGATACGACGTAAAACTGCCGCCAATCCAACTAAGAAACGACGTAAACACATACCTGGAGAAAAATCCAATCAGATGTCTTACGTGTTTGACTTCGAGACCATGACACTGATGCGACGAGACGAGTTCGATAAACTGAAAAAAGAACGGAAACAGAGAGACAAGGAAAGAAAAAAAGAAGAGAAAAGATTAGCTGCAATAGAGGCTGCGGCGTTGACAGCTATGTCGAAATCGAAAAAGGGTAAACAACAAGTAATGTCTGGCAGTAAAGGTTCGATTAAAGATGGGGGGAAAGGCAAAAGGGGCAGTTTACCACCAATAGCGAACAGAGGAAGACGAGATACAGTGTTTGCTCATCGGGCGCCAACTGTTGAACTATTAAAAGCACACGGCAAAAAACGAAAAGGTTCCCTGAAAACACCATTACCCAGTAACAACAAACAAAAGCGTAACTCTATTACCGGCTCTACAAGCGGCAAATCATCGCCAGGTTTAAAACTTTCCAAAGACACGATGGGCATTTTGAACCACGTGACACTGTCGAATACCTCGCAAAGGTTGTCATCGAAATCACGTTCTCAAGACTCGCCAACTAGTCGCAACAAGAAGGAGGGTGAGAAGGAGCACGAAAGGACATTCGATGAGCAAACACATGATGATGACGAATTACTATTACACCTACCCGATATATGTCTTTCGGAAGAGATCATAACACGAGGCATTCGAGAAGGCGATGGTGACTTCCGTCGTCCGAACTCCAGAGGACGAAGATCATCGTCTGCACAGAGTGAGCATCAGAGTTACGATCTGTTTCCCAGACTCTCCGAGGAGAAACTTCACACGGCAGCGCCGGTCAGCAAGCTCTGCGATGGCTTTATTGATTTCCATCTTGGTGAAACTAACTACAAATACACCCACATAGGTTTGGTTAACGCCATTGCTGCTGATAGACTAGCGGGTATGCCATTTCGTACATACCTCCAAAAACATAGGCAAGTTAAAATGATCAATTACTTGACCTTCTGGAACAAATCTCAAGAGTACTTGGCCACTGAATATTATCACAGTGACACAACAGACCGCTCTATTAAGTATCGCTGTGCTAAGGAGATCATCTCAATGCATCTTGTCAAAGGAGGAAAGTCGTCTGTGAATATAGGCGAACAGTTGGCCAATAAACTGGTTGAACTTCTTCCCGAGGGCCTAGGAAACCAACTGTTGATGCATGCTCAAGAACTAGCATGCGAGGTGAGTTCACGCTAATATCTATTTTTAAAAACGCAATTTGTTTTTGTTTTCGTGTGACGTGATATTTTTGTTTGAGGGCGTCATCATATAATAATCGACTCATTTTGTCCATCCTGGTTTGCAGCTATTGATGATGTAAAATAATTATAATCATGTATTAACTAGGCTGTAACTTAACTTTCAAACGTTCTGTGATAACACATGATTTAACTCTTATTTCTCAGGCTCTTAAAGATTCATGGATGATTTTCCAGAAATGCGACGAGGAACGTTTCTTAAGACATACAGTAAGACTACTCACATTATTATACAATGCATTAATTATAATTTAATTAATTTTAATTTGCTCTGAATCATTTGATATTTCGATGTGGGCAACGCTTCTACTCGCTCCCATGTGCGCTTGCACTATGCAATGTTTGAGGAAATGAGTGAGGGCGATCTTTACTACAACTGGCCGTTCACGTAATTTAGTATGCTTTATTGCTAGCTTATTATACTGCGTAGAATTCACGATGCTAGAAGTATATCCCTCCATCGGGAGATCTCACCGTGGTCACCTATTGACCATACGATTGGTTGAATTAAAACGACGTCAAAATAAGCATTGTCAATTAACTGGAGGTTCATGCCGTGTTATGGGAATTTCCCGGGAGTAATTCTAATAAGATATTTCTAGCGTTGGAGCTGAAGTTGGAGTGGAATGGAATGTCTCATACATTTATTTACGTTGAAATCATAGTAGTTCATTACGTTCATTAGTTTTCATAAACGCGCGTACAACGGAGTTATCATGCAACACAAACATTACATACATGTTTTAATTAATATATTAATTAGACTCGAAGAAAGAAGGTTCCTGAACACGAGGCAACCAAGGAAGACATAGGCAGAGTTCGGGGCACTGGCTTCCCAGACGGCCTCCCTCAAATTTCCAAGCCAGTACACACAAAGAACAAGAAAGGCGCCGCTGTTCTACCGTCTGCTAGGACTCAGCGTGAAAGATTCGACGAGTACCATGACGACAAAGAGACAAGACCGCACACAGAACAGGCGCCACCTAACGTTATCGCACCACACCGAATGGCAAGGGCGCTTAAGCTGGCGGGAGGAATTTCTCAACTCGGTGAGTATTATTTCTAATCAAACCAAAATTATGGCGCGGTACAGAACTATGATAACGTGGAATATAATATTCGATGTGAACATAGAGCTTCATCATGCGAGTCAAGATTTATTCAGATGTCGTGTTTTACTGACTCTATCCTCATATCCTAGGCATTGAAAAAGACGAAATCAGCGACCTGAGCGATATTGACGATGAAGACGATGAGGGGAGTCTTAAGAGAAGGGAACAAGTGGTCATCAGAAGACGTAAGTAGCACGGGGGAGGGGGCGAAGCAAAATTAGTTGAGCAAAATGTTGTAAGTCTGCTCTCCAGATCAGATAATGAATCCCTGTTGTAAGCGGTGAACAATGTTACACGGGAAACAGTTAAGGTCCAACATATATAGTTATAATAGTTATAGTCAGTGCATAGACAGGTTAGTTTTTTTATTTTGTCATCCAACAAATACTGGTGCGTTTGCTGCATAAACAACAATGTTTTTGTTTACAATAAATAGTATCAACTTTTAATTAAAGGGCGGCAGTTGTCGCGCCGCGCACTGTTAGATATGGGACTCATAGCGACGTATACAACACGTGTAAAATACGTTGTTTATTTACATGAAATTCGAACACGCGCTGCGCGACGACCGCGTTTTAATTGGAAATGATCAAGCTCAGACTAATAATTTGTAGTGTGAAAGTTAACGCAGTGATATCAATTGTTATGTACTTTTCAGGTAAGCCGGTCGAGATAATACGTATGACACCACGTGTTGCAAGTCGGTCAGCAGGTACAGCAAGTGGACTGCTAAGCGGCATGAGTAGACATAGTGTTATGAGTATGTCAGAAATTCAGATCAGAGATCGGGCTTCTGGTGATCAGCCATTTTTATTGAAAAGCATCCAAAAAAACGGGCGGACAATCAAAAGACCACCAAGACCAAGGTATGTATTTTTTTAACGGCAAGTTAGTTAAGAGTTTCAACACGTTTAACGAAGAATCCAACAAAGGCTGTCAGTGGAATTATGGTCGCGCTGTACACCTGAACTTTACAGGCACCGGCATCTTGAATTTTCAAGGTG